AATAAAAATAATACATAAATAATAATAAATAAAATAAATAATAAAATCTAGCCAAGTTCTGGGAGAGATTTGAATCAGTAGTTGGAGAGCTTGGAATCCTAGAGTTGTTGTGGGCTGAGTGGCATGGCAGCAAGTGCAGCGAGGAAGACTTGGGGAGAAGGGAACAGGGAGGAAGGAGGGACCTCTTTGTTCTGCTTTTGAACAGTAGTCTGCCCAGTGTGGAGCTGCAGCCAACCCTCAGAAATTAAACTGTGAAATAGATTTAGGAGGCACAAGAAGGGGTTATCTAGGAGATGGATTTTTTTTCTTCTTTTTTGGGAAAGGGGTTTAAGTGGTATTTAAAAAAGTTATTTATCTTGGATGTAATTTTTACCATTGATAGTGTCTGTCTTCAGCTTGCTTAGTAGCATAATCAGCAGTTCTGAAGCCAGTTATTAGCAGGAGGATGACTTGCAAACCGTGATTAGTGGGCTACAGCTTTCAAATGCACTTCTTATGCACTTCCACACACCACCCCCCCGCCCTTAATATTTGGCTTCCAGTTTCCTGAGTATCATAATATGATGCCATAGCTTTTGGTTCACCAGTGAGATACAACAGTGTATGTCTTGGAGGAAAAATAGGAAATGCCCAAATAGAAAAATCTCTTGGGGTATGTTGAACCTCTTGCTGCAACTAGGAACCAAGTGTTTTGGAAGCTACTAGGAAAACAGTAGCATCACACTGAAGGTTGGGTGTGTAGCTTGGCCTCTTAGAATCTCACTCAGTACATGACATTCTTAATCAGGTCGTTGTCTTCCTCAAGTGGGTTGATTCAGCACCTTGAGTCTAGGCATATCCATCAGTGTGTGAATTTTAAGAGCAAAAGAGCTACAGGTGAGCTTACACATTCTGTCGGAGTAAGACTGCTGCACTGTATTTATGTATCACGGAGCTGGTGCAAGATGGTTTTAAATTGCTGAGTAAATGCAACTCTGGTTAAAAACCCAGGGTAAATTCTTTGTCTCCCTTTGAATTCAACAGAAAACTTGTCTCTGACTTCAGAAGGTCAAGATTTTGGTCTGTTTTGATCCTAGTTACACAACAACTTTCAACCATGCTGACAACTCTGACATCAGTATTAATAATGGACACTGGAAGTAAATAAGAGTTTGTCAGGACTATATGTCATAGCAACGAGACAGGAAACGCTTAATGTGTAAACCTTTGTTGTTTTGTACCAAAGACTTTTTTTGCACAAATACTTAACTAATTTAGGATGCCTAGACATGGTTTAATGGTCAAGAGAAACATGTTTTAGAGAAATCTGATACATTTCCCCTTTCAACTGTCTTTTCTCTTCTGCTTTTTTTCCTAACAGAAGTTAATGCAAGTATTCTGAACAAATATTTGAAATTAGCTTTGAATGTTCTTTAACAGTTACTGAACTGTTTTTATTCACAGCGAATTGTTAGTAATTTACTGCCTCTTACTGTGTGTCTGTCTTTGAATTTTATGAATCAAGTATGGGTATGTGGGGGTGTGTGTGTATGCATAGGTAAATAGAGTACAGATGTTTTAAAGTGTGTCTCCTCACGTGCAAGTTTTAATTTTGCAGACGATATCAGAAATTGCAGAAGATAATGAAGCCCTGGTAAGAACCTGATTAGATCATCACCTTGCACACTTCCTCTTCTTTTGCATGACTGAGTTCAGGCCCTTGCGCTAATCTTTATATGTAAATACAACTGTGCATATTCATTCAGTCTTCAACATTCTCTGTTTTCTGCTCTTTGCCTGTTAAAATTTTCTGATGAAGCTTTGCTTGTGGAATGGGTGCTTCATTTCTGTAACTTCTCCGGGGCCTTCTACTATTTCCTAAGTAAGGCTTTTGTTTTGTTTTTCAGTTTGAGCAAACAAATCATTTCCTTGCCTTCCCCAATACCTCTCTTAAATTTGTCTGGCTTACATGATTGATAGTAGGCAATTTTAATTGTTGGTGTTAGTGAGATGAAAGTAAGAGTCATTGTGCCAGTTTGAATTCCTATTATTTGCTGGTACAAGGTAGTGCTAGTTGTTGCAGATAACTGCATAAAGGAAAACTGTAATGTAGTAAAGGGCCTCATCTCAGAAAGTTCAGAAGCATGCTTATTGCCCTGATGATTTTGAGTGGGACTCTTCTGTATGCTTCAAATTAAGCACAGGCTTCAGAGGCTGGGAGAAATTGGGACTCCAAGAGATATTCTAATATCTTGATTGGCTTGCGAGTTTGACATGTCAAGTATAGCTAAAACGCAAGCAAGGAAAAGAATAATAAATCAATTAGCTGTGCATCTGTCACTCTGAGAGCTTGATGTGGTTTACGACACAGTAGATGCAGCTCCCCATCTGAATCCATGCTAAATCATACTTTCACAAATCTGCTGTAAACCACTTTCCGAAACATTTATTATTAAATCATTGGCTAATAAATAAATTAGTAAGAATAAATTTGGCAGGAAACTTAAATCCTTCCTCTACGTTTGCTTTCTCAACCTAATACAGAGTAACTTTTGTTTCATAATAGAAAAGTTTAGATTCTGAGGAAAATGATTAAAAGGGCATGAAGCTTTCAGAATTCTTGGCATCACCACCCCTGGCGAGACAAGGTACCTCCTGTGCATTTAGGTAGTGGGTTTTTCCTCACTGCTGTGAAAATAGTTCTTTCTGGAAGAATAGTTACATTCCTTCAGCATCTCTCTGATTCCAAATTCTTTTATCCTGTAGGCTTCTTTACGTTAAATTATGTGTCCTCAGGACAGTACTAAAATATGACTTATATTTGCATTGCACTCTGGTTTTAGGACCTGATCATACTGATGATCTGAATTTTTTTTTTTTTTACACAATTTAGTTTTGTTTACTCATGGAAACAAGGCATTACCCACTTTAAGAGGATTCTTATTGATCAATGTAGATACAGAGGAAAAGAAAGTGTATGTGACTAAAGTTTATTCTAACTTTGGAAGACAAATCCTGCCAGTAGAAGCTTCAGGTTACATCGGGGCACACAGTTTAATATTTTGATTTCTATGTAGTACACGAAATGATATAATTAAAATAACACAAATTCTTGAGTTTGGGACTTGCACTAAAAAAGATACCAGAGCCATTGGTCAAAACCAGTAGGTTGGGAAGCTAACCTGTTTGTGCATTTTGAAGGTAAAGCGTATACACTAGTGTTCTGTAAGCATAGTTATTGAACATCTTGACTATTTTTCACCTATGTACTAATTAGAAAAGGTCAAATAAAACAAGAACTGAAAAAAAAAAAACCCAACCAACACTTCAGAGCTTCATATAATGAACTAAACTAAACTTTAGAACTTTGCAGCCTCCACCTGCTGTCTTCTTGACTAAAGAAACTTAAAGAAACCAAATGCTAATTCAAAAAAACCCAAACCAGTTAATTTTGATTTACAGAATGACATAATTCATAAAGTGCTGGTATTTCATTTTATCTCTGGTAGCTTGCACATGCTAGCTCAACTTAATTAAAACCTGATTTTCACAGAGAGGCCTTGTTTAATAGCATTCTCCATTCAAGGAAGTGCTTCTAAAATGCGAGTTTCTTTTTCTCTCTTTCCAGTTTTTGAGGTTCCCATTTTGTTTTAGGATTTTATTTATCCTGTGTTGGCTAATACTTAGATTTAAAAAGAATAATAATAATAAAAAATTCTTATGAAACAGCTCTATCAATTGACCTTTGCATTGCAGTACTGAATTGTAATCAAATCACGCTGATTAGAGTGTGATGTTTTTCCTGTGTAGTTAGTTATTCCTTTTAAGAAAGTTTTCTTTTAAGAAAACGTAGTCCGTTTAAGGAAATTACCATGAAATGAGCAAAACCAGGAATTTAAAAGATGGAGAATAAGAGAAAAGGTAATTCTAATCACATCTTCGTGAAGAACCAGTGTGTAATAGTTCCTCTGGGCTAGTTTTCCATGTAAACAAATTCTTAATGTACCTCCAAGTAGATTTAGTCATACTCCAGAATAAGAGTATCTACACCTGGATTTATTCAAGAATAGTTACAGTTCTGTTTAAAATTCTCAGCTTGTTTTCTTTAATCAGAGTTAATTTTCAAGCTTAAAGAAGTCCTGATACCAGGGATACAAAGCTATTTCAGGTTTTTGGAATGCAAGTGGTTTAAAGTAAGTAGGACTGATCCCTTGTAATGAAAGCGGTGAAACTGAATCACAAATATTTCAGTGGTGCTTGGCACAATGCAAAAAAAAAAAAAAATCTGTGTCAATTGCAGTGTAGCAGTTAAGTGCATTTTCTGTAATCACCTAGAAATATAGGGGCAGCTTCCCCACAGATTGCTCAGTCATTTTCAGCTGTACAGAGTAAGCACCAAGTAGGTGTGAATTGCTCCTTGTTTGATTTGATGGTGGCTTTGCTTCACCCTTGGAAGGGTTACTTGAAGAAACAAGGCAGTGTAGAAGCAATGAAGAAGAGCCATAGCAATAAAAAAGGTACTTGTTCACACTGCTTACAAAGCATCCTGCTGCATCATCAGTCTTCATTTTAGACTTGGTTAGGTTCTTGCCCTCATGGCTTTTCCAGAGCTCTTGTCCTCTGATGATTAGATATATTCTGCTCCCCTGTTTAAATTTATTCATGGCCATTTATACTTGACAACTCTAACTGAAAAAGCTGTTCTTACTCTTTGATGTTGACCTCAGTGATGTCAGGCCTTTCTGCTGCCCAGTGTTAGGCTGTGAGCACAGTTGCTGAATGATAAGGGACTTAGTTAACTGCTTCTTTAGCTCCTGCATTGGGTATTAGGCTGCAACTCTTTTGTTGCCTCCTGCCCAGTTAAAGTTGTTTCTTTGCTGCCTTTCCTCTTCACAATTTGAGATCAGATTTGGTTCTAGTTTGCCCATGAAAAATGCTTTGTGTAAAGATGTACTGTCTTTGGCTTCTAGTCCTAATGGGCTGGTGGATGTATCCTGATAGTGACGGATGAGCAACAGTTAATTTCCAGGTTCTCCTGTACAACTTTTATCATACAAAACAGGAGATAGTTCACTGAGCTTTATAAAAGCTTATAGTCGTTTTTGTGTGTGTGTGTGTGTGTGTGTGTGTGTTACCTGATGACAGCTAAGCCTGACTAATTATCTCGATTTAAAGAATTATTTGAACAGCTGAATATTTTCCCTTCCTCAATAGAATAAAATGTTCATTTTGGTATATATGTTAAACATGGATTGAGATTTTTTTTTTCCCCCAAAAAAACATCTAGGGGTTTGAGTGCTCAAGTCCCATTAATTTATTTTGATAAGAAATCCAAATTGCTTTAGGCATCTTTCAAAATACCAGATGTAGTTCTGTATATACATCTGAGGATTACTTAGCACGCATGATAAGAAGATAGTTTAGCATGTAGAAATGATACTAGGAAGGCAGGTGAGAGATGTGATGGTCAGGGTCACATGCACATTCCTGTCATTTTTAGGAAAGAAAAGCTAATACCAAAAATGCATGGAGGTTTTTTTTTCTTCAGAGTTTCTTAAGGTCAGAATGCAGGTTTTGTTAGGAACCTAAATTAGCAGACTTTGACCCAATATTTCTCTAAAACCTAGAAATGTGAAATGCAACTGTTGACTTACTCTTCAGTCAAGTTTGCCGGAGGGGTTGAGGTGCAGAGGCTGTGGCTCAGAGCATGGCCATCCATCCGCACTGGAACAGCTCATGCTGGGACAGCAATGGTGTTACAGACCACAGCTTTCTCCTGCTTAAGAGGCTTTTTGTGAGAGCTGCTGTGGGTGAGGAGATGCTTCATCGGCAGCTCGCCCATCCTCTCAACGTGGGTTAGAAGTGGGGAGTCAGACAACAAAGAATGGAGAAACTTTATCAGCTGTCCCAGCGTGAGGTGCCCCACCTAAGAGCCAGAGCCCTGACAGCGCTCGGGAGCGATTGTACAAGTAGCTTGCCTGAGAGCATAAATCATTAAAATGTCAGTGTTAGTGAGATATGAAATTGCAATTACACAGTGCATCTTTCTGATCGTTTTTCCCCTCTTGCTGCGATGACACACATTAAAAAGCACCTTCATGAGGAATTACCATAAAACTATTAAGTCATTTTGCCAAAGCAGCAAGAGTTTGATATTAACAGAACTGTTGTGCCTTGTGCTGTGGATTAGTCTAAAAAGATTTTATGAAGAAAGAGGCCCCATCATTTTTCAGACTTTTTATATGACTAAAACACTGAGACTTCGGGTTAAACAGCTCCTATCATGTATTTTCTAAGATTACTACTTTTATGAACAAGCTTTGATTCCCTTGAAATTTCTAGCATCTACTCTGCTGCTCTTAATGGTACGAGTGTGTGCGCGCCCGTGTGTGTCTTGAAATGAATTGCTCGGAAGTCTATTTCTACTTATTAGCTTGTGTTTAAACATGTAACTGATCAACACCACTCCCTTCCCCTTCCAGATACTTCTAATCCTTATCTTGCTCTAGTTGCCCTGGAGATTGCTTTCAACTCTAGCTGTGCTATTCCTAATGCTTATCCTTCAAGCCTGGCTTTTGACTTTTGCAACGCCGCTTAGTGTACACGTCTGCGTGCAGGTGCATATGTATAGCTATATATTTAAAAAATACCTGCTACGTATTTGTGGTGCTGCGTGGTGTAGAGAGTTGGGAGTATTTCTTGCTGCTTGATTAGTCCCAGTGTTGCACCTCTTCACTCATTAATTATTTGAAGCAGCGTCACTGGAGTGACACCTGGTGGGGTGTCTGATCATTTTAAGTTGAAAAGTCCTTTCACCTTCTGGATCTCGAAGGGCTGTATCATCGTCACATCTACTAAACCAGGTTTATGCATTAATACTAGTATTTTTAACTCCATTAACCCAGTTTTCCCTCCAAAGCTGTGGAGGAGGTTGGATTAATTGGCAGTTTTGGTGAGAAGAATAAATGAGACTGTTGAATGTAAAGGAATTAAACTAACTGGAATTCCTGCCGCTGCTGTTCCGAAGGTGAATATCCATATGCAGGTTTAATGCAGTTTAAGTAATTCCTCTAAATTATACCCCTTGTTAATGGGGCTTAACTGTCATGTACGATTAGTTTATAGAAGAGAATTTGTGTACTGAATACAGGTTAATTGACTAAATTTTGAAACAGCTTATGAGCAAATCTAGGGGAGATAATTTATCTGCTTAGTTTAATGCTGGAAGAGATATTTTTATCTACTTTTCAACCTATATGGCCTATCTTTTTGTAAATTTTTTGTCTTTTTATTTAGATCTAATTTAGTCTGGCTTCTTAAAATACCAGAAATCCATATATTTGTGGAAGTATTCTGTCATGAAGATGCATGAGAACTTGGTACAAGTTTTTAGAAGCAGGCCTTTCCGAGGAGTACTGTTGTATTTATGGATTCATAAATAACCATTTTAAGCAAAAGGAATGGATTGGGGAAAAGGATGTGTCTGGAGCTGACTAAATTTCCTGCAAAGTCTTCTGTCATCTTGTTATGAAATCCTTGGTTGTTTGGAATGCCAGTGATGACATTAAAATCTAATTTAATTCTTAAAAGATTTGCAATATTAAAAAACAAGCAAACAAAACTAAGCTTCGTACTCCCCAAAACAAAAATTTCCAGACCATGTATTTGCTGAACAGAATACTCCTTGCAGAATTACAGTGGATTTTTTAAAGACACTGGATTTTTCTTGTTTGGTGTAGTTTTTTTTCATTTTGTCATAAATAATCAAAGCCACTGTGGATACCCTTACTTACTATGGAAGAGAAAGGTGTGTTTTGGTTGGGTTTTTTTTGGGGGGGGGGTAAGTCAGCCTATTGAAACTGCAGCCCACCGGGTGTTGTTTGGGGTTTTCTGTTTACTCACAAAATGTCAAGAATGGCAAATTTCTTTTTAGTGGAGGGCACCTGTGGAGTTTTGATGAACAAGAGCTCCTATCTTAAATTAAGGGGCCACTCAAGGCTGCATTTCACCCTCAGAAATCCCTAAATGGCAGATTATATCAAATCCAGTAAACTGGCTGTTGGAGTTTCTACATTAAAACTGATTTTCTGCCTTATTCCTCTGTACTGCAGTATATCTCTTCCATCTGAATGGATCTTCGCTTATTTGTGTGGGGTTGGTGCAGCATGGTAGGGGAGCAAATCACACAATAGGGATTCCCAATTACATTGCTTAACTGTGGCTATAGTATTATACTCAGGTTTTCAACATACTGAGCATTGTAGTTCCAATCTGACAGAGTTTTTTTTAATTTTCTCTTTTTATTAGGGAAGCTGTTGCATTAAAATCAGTGGGACTATTCATGCTGCTTTAGATTGATTGTATGCTTATGCTTGTTAATGGCTTAGTGGCAGAGTACCTTGCAGGTTTGGCATGCCCTTGAAGGTAATACGCTGCTTCTTTTCGGGCTCTGTGCACTGCTGCTTGTATTGAGTAGTTACCTCACTGAGCTGCTTCATTGAAATCATTATGGTTGCTGACTCTTCGGTACCCTGACTGTGTATAGAAATCAAGCTAATCTTTAAAAGCTGGTTTTTAACATGGAAAATTCCTGTGCAGCTGGTCAGGTTAGAGCATATTCTTTATGTTGAGTTTAAACCCGTTTTGAATTAAGTTGAGTTCATACAAAGATGCATTGAATCTTGGATTTACAAGTGTAAATTTACAGGTGTAAAATACAGTGTAGTGGCCTGCAAACCCTAACCAATTTGAGCTGCATGCTTGGATAAACCATGGGAACTTTGCAATTTGCTTGACCTGGTTGCCCACAGATAAACAAAAGGAGATGCATCTTCAGGTTCAAAGAAAGAAATTGAGGCATTAACTATTGGAAAATTGCTGCTCAATATAGAGTCTCTGCTGGTGCATTTTTAAAGTATATTTCCTTCCTTGTAAGAGAAGGAACAAACAATCCACTAACTTTCTGCCAATCTGCTTCATGCAGAGGTACCAAAATGTGGCACCTCTGTATGACCCGCAATTAGGAGCATTTCTATAAATTGCTAAGAAAAAGCTCCCTTCTTTTCTTCTCTTAGATCTAAAACTCTGAATTTAAAAGAGAAGTTTAATTTGGACTATCTGATTTCCTTGAGCATTGCGTGTGGTGTTCTCCGGGGTATTAGTTCTTCTCTTACAAAATTGCTTTCTTCCAGGTGACTATTCTTGATGTCCATGCTAAATTGTTTTGGAGACTGACTGTTGCACGGCCTCTCTTGCTCTTCTGCTACCTCTTAGTCCATAATTGGCTTCATTTTCCTACCTTTCTGAAAGCTTCCTGCTGCTTTATGCCCTCGGTCATTGCCCTGCTGCATTACTGGTAAATGTTGTCATGACTCCTGTCTCTTGCAGCTTTGGAGATATGTTGTCCTTTACACTGACTGCATTTGTTGAGCTGATGGATCATGGGATTGTATCGTGGGATACATTCTCTGTGGCATTCATTAAAAAGGTAATTTTGTAATCAATGCTATGTGTTTTATATCGGTTTGCATCTACATTTTTAAATTTTTGAGGTGAGTTGTGGTTTGGTTGTTTTTTCTCCCCAGATACCTTTTTGACCAATGAACTAAATAATATATGTGAAAATGGGATTAAAGTGTTATTTCGAACTATAAATATTTGTAGTTGCAGGATCTGGCCCAACTTCAACTGAAATCAATGGGAGTGAAATGGGATCAACACTGCTATCGGCTTGTTACACGAGAAATTGCTTGCTCAATTATAGTGTGACCTCCTTGTGCAGATACTAGGTGGTTAAAGCAAAAATTAGTATTTTGTTTTAATGAAAACTAAAATGAGTAATACCATATTTCTTCAAACAAAACCAGCACTGAAATGTTTCCTCTGGGCGTATGGGAGGAAGAGAAATGAGTTAGTTCACAAATTGAAATTAAGCTGATATCTGCTGAGTTTATCAGGTTGAACTCTGGCCACCTGTGAATCTTGCAGCTGAGGTCTGTGGTTTTGAAACACTTCTTTCCGTGATTTGCAACATTTTTTTCCTTCTTTTCTTACATGTAGGAGGTGTACAAAAGCAGCAGAAACACAGGAGTACAGAGATTTAACAGGCTTCAGAAAAAAGTTTGTGACTGATTTAACCCTTTTTGCTTACTGTGGAGGGAAAAAAATCCCCCACCTCTTTACAAAGAATTTTTAAACCTGATTGAACTCAGAACTTATGTTAAAGTGCATCAGTACAAGTTTGATAGGTGTTAGAGTTACTTCACTGAAATTAGATAGGAATGGAACTAATATAACCCATGGCAAAGATCTCTTTGTTTTAACAACACGTCAGAGAACCAACTTTTAATTTAAATTTGGTTTAGAGCATTGCCGCCACCAAAGGAAAGTACAAATTTACTTTTGTTGCCGAAAGAGAAAGAAGAAACAATTATGAAAAGAGTATTAGATTTTGAAGCTCAGTATTGGTAATTAAAAATGATGGTTACTATTTATAAGAAAAATTAATATAATTGGTCTGATTTTTGGACTCTTTTTTGCTAATCTTGCAGGCTAGGTAGATTATAATGATTATTATCTTTCCATGGCAAATAAAATAGTACATCTGTTTTTTAACAGACTTTGTGAGGTACAAGGTCAAGCCCAGAATGCCTTATTTGCTATGGGAGCCTACTTAGAAGTGTGTGAAGAACCTTGATAAAATGAGTTTAAATCAATCTACTTTGGTATTCACTCAGAATTCTTGTCTTTGCCTAATCCCATTAACATCTTATGCCCTGTGGGTTCTATAGTAACTACTGAAGAAAGGTTATGTGCAACCCTGATAATGGCTCATCTCTTCTGTCTGGCACTTCCATGGGTTTCCCTGGACACTGAACCAATTTAAAAAAAACCCCAAAACAAAAGACACAAACAAAAGTATTCTCACAAAATACCTATGAAAACCAAAAGTGGCCAGTAAAAACCAAAAGTGGAACTGTTGGACAAGAAAGGGACCAAGGAGAAGAATAGGATAGTTAGCAGAGAAACAGAAGGACAAAGAATGACCAAAGGAGAGGAAAGAGGAAGAGCAGAGCCCCGTGGGCAAGGTGCAAACCTAAAGCAGCACCTTTGGACCATCCGCCTCTCTGGCGGCAGTCTGCAGCTTTATTTGCGCTTGCTTCTCTGACCTTGGCTTTTGACAGGCCACTTGAGGTTGCTGATGGGCTAACTCAAGTGGTTGACAGGATGGATAAGGGAGCTGATAAGTTTCTGCTAGCCGGAGGGGCAACTTTGCAATCCTACTTCAAGTACTTCTGCCCTTTGAAGCTGTCTTTCATGTTAAATGGAAGCCAAACCGGAATAGGGAGGAATTAATCTGAACTTTTTTTCTTGAATAGTTTTCTAATTTAAAATGTAGAAGCTGGAGGTGACCCCAAAGGGAAGCTCTAACTGCTTCTAATGACTAAGTGCTTGATGTTGCATGCAGTCTCCCTCCCATCCTTTGGGTACATAAAGACTGCTGTTCCAACTGCTGCAAATAAGAACTGACACTTTCAAGGAGAGCTTGGTTCCTTATAATAAGGGAAAATAGATTAATTTGAAAAAACTTCCTTATGATATGCAAGATTCTTTCAAGACCTTTTTCTTCCTTATGACAATAAAGTTTCTTTCTAGCTTCCATAGCTGTGTAAAGGATTTGGATGCCTAGTTCTTAGAAAATGTGGTGGTAACTGGGTATCAAAATACACTCTACAAATTTGGTACTCCCATCTTCAGTTCCTATGGAGAGATAAAATTTGTGGTATTGGTTGAGATAGTTAAAAATACCTCTTAGAATAATTTATGTAATTGCTGTTTCATAACTGTGTGATGCAGAGTCTTAACCTTGATGAATTGTTTACTCTGCCTTCTAAAATGTACTGTGCAGGAAAAGGGAATGGCAGTAGGGGAGGTATCTCTGTGTCTCACAACTCTGGATTGGTGTTTCTGTAGTCAAGTGCAACTCTAGTTCCTAACTTGAAAATGAGATGCGCACTTGAAAATCTTGCTATACGTTAGTACTTAACAGAGAACAAAACTTTGTTAGATTTTTCTGTACGTTTCTGACATCAAAATGGCCCAGGCAAATAACTAATGAACATACCACTGCTGAGAAGATCAGATCTGTTTCCTTCGCAATTCTTTCTCTGTGTGGTTTTTGTTAGTGACAGGGTTTATTTTGTTTGGGTTATTAATTTTTTTTTTTATTTTTGGTTTTTAACTTTTGAATTTTCTCCTGTGTTTTAAGTGATGCTGAAACAGGGAGAGGACTCAGATGATGTTGTTTAGCTTGCTGTAGGTTTATTATCTACCGTCATTTTACTTGTTTAGCTCCTGTTTCAGCAGAGCACTGGGGCTGAACGTGTAAAGGCATTCTGATTCCTAACTTCTCTTGAAATCGATTGGAAGTTAAACACCCAGCCACTTCTTTTCTATGTGGCTATATATATCCTAATAGGACTATGCAAATATGAAGGTTACAGGTATTTCAGTGAACAAACAGTTTTATTCTTAATGAGGCATACCCATGTGACAGGTTTTCATGGCAAAGTGCAAAGCAATGAAGTTGCTTATTTCTGGAGAGATGGTATTTCTCTGAGCTTGCATTATTTTTATCATCAGAATTTTTGTTAAATGAGTGCAGGGTTATTTTTGGATGTTGAAAGTCCTCCCTGTGCGTGGTGCTCGATAAGCAGAGAACAGCATATAACGCAAATTTGACCTCCTGTTGATTCTTGTCTCTTTTCAAGAAGGGTCCTTTTTTTCCACATCCAGAACTTCAAGTATGGTAATAGAATTTCTTTTTAATCTAACCTTCCTCCCTCTGGAACTAGCATGCCTTACTTATCAGGGTAGACAAGCCTATTACTTCTGGCCAGACTTCATGCTTCAACAAGGTGGTTATGAATATACGTAGCTTGATATGCAAGTTACCTAGCGGATGCTTTGCATGTATGTTCAGTGTGGTATGTCACAGCTTTTTAAACACACAACCTAGCCTCATACCTTGGGTTTGTGTTTATGATTACAAGATGTTATGGTGCATGATCAGAAGAATAAATATGTCTAAGGCAGCCTGTCCTAGACTGAGGGTTCAGTTATCTATACTGTTAGATTTCTGCAGGCCCCTGACACGAATGTGTTATAACCCAGTGAAGCATTTACACTGCCACTTGAAATATCATTGGAAGGAGCTGCTGCAGCAAGAATAATTCATACATGTCAAGGCTTCTAAACAGGACAGTGACAGCAGTCTGACAAGTTGGGACACAGCCTGGACATATTGTGTTCCTGCTGCACAATCAATCCATGGATGCCTGATGAGTGTGAGGCATCCAGAACGCATTTGATTTATGGTGCGAGCTGTGCAGAGTTGCTCTGTGCATACGCTGTCTGTATTGTGGGCCTTCTGGACATGTGACAGCTCTGGCTGCAGTGCATCGGAAAACAACTGGATTATCATTGAGAGAGGTAGAGTCATACAGTGTTTCTGAGATACAGCTTGTTACTCTAAACAGCACAATGTGCATCGTATATTGATGTAAATATTACTTGGGCTCAGGACTTGCAGGCAGCAGATACTGAAAGCCCAGAGTAGAAAAGGCTAATTGAGTTGCTTCTCTCCTCGTATTCTCTATGCATGCATGGGTTGGTTCTTTATTTTCTGTAAAGTCGATGTGTATTTTCTGAATTGAGTTATATTCAGCATAGCATGTTCCTATTATAATGCAAACCAAGTAGCAGAGCAAACAGCAGTGCTGCCATAGATTAGAAGAAGAAAAATCTGTCCCTCTTTCTTTGTTGTCTGTAACCAAAGTTGCAGAAAGGGTGTTTTGCTCCTTCAGCACTACCCAAAATGTCACAAGTGCAACACAATGTGCTTGTCCACATGTCCATATTTAACCGTGATTTTACAGGCAGCTAGGCATCTTTCCCAAGCACAGGGCATGCCTTTCTTCCTCCAAAAGGAAAATGATGCCAAGGTCTAAGCAAGCATCTACAATCAGAAACAATTTAATTACATTAGTGCTTGTAGCGTGAGCACTGAAGAAGCGTGTGGACTTGAAGTTTTCTGGAAGGAACGTGTCAAACTTGAGATGGCCACTGTAGTCTGTTACTTGGCTGTGAAGAGCAAATAACTGTGGTCACATGACATTTCTTCTGTCTGTCTGCTTCCTCGGGTACCTTTCAACTTGATTGTGCTGGTATCGGTGCATTCAAGGAAAACCCAGGCATCAGCAGAAGGCAAGCTTCTTCCCGGGAAACCGGGCCCAAGGACTGGGCAGCATGCAGAAGAACACATGTTGCTGCATCTCACTGCACAGTTGTGTTGGCTCTGCAGATGAGTGCGAATCAGGTCGTTAGCATGGTGCAGAAAAGCGGAGGTCGGACCTGGTTTTGATTAACATGCCATTTGTTTGTGGCAGCTTGCAGTAAAAGTGAAGGTTGTTAATGCACGAACACTTAGCAAGACCGGACTCTAGACAGAGTTATGGAACCAGTTGTGCTGAGAAGTGATCATCAACAGGGTTTTAATTTGTAACCTGGAGAGAGCTTTCAGTGTTGTTGGTAACAGCAAGAGGGAAAAAAAAATGCTTCATTTGCCAGAGTCTTTTGCCAGAGACCTAGATATAAATGTCTCTCTTGCAACACTTGCCTTGAGCCTAGATATTTTTTAGAGAAAACTAGCTGCACGGATTTCTGCTGGAGAGAATGAGAAGTATTCTCCTTGTCCATTCCAAAGTTTTCCTCACAAAAAAAATGTAACTGTTCCAGTTCTTTAATGTTGATTTATTATGTTCATAATGTAATGCTGAAGAATATATTTCGGTGGTATGAATATTGACATAAATCTGTGGTAATTTGTGCCAGCTGAAGAATCTGTGCCACTGTGTCCAGTGAAGGTATCTGCAGTGCCTCGTTGATTGCTTTCAGGTATTCACTGATACCTGGCATGTGGACAAGACTACTTTTACTCTAATACCTTTGAGTCACATCCACATTTTTCTTTCTTCCCTTTCTCCTTTTCGTGATAAGATGTATATTCTCTAAATGTTTGAATTTGTAGATAGCAAGCTACGTGAACAAATTTGCCTCGGACATCTCCATCTTACAACGGTCGCTAGCAATCCTGGAATCGATGGTGCTCAATAGCCATGACCTGTACCAGAAGGTGGCACAGGAGATCACAATTGGGCAGCTAATCCCACATCTGCAGGGGTGAGTGTCTGATATGGTGGATTTTCCACCCCCCCACCCCCCGCAAATGAGCATAGCATTTGGAAAAAGAGTGGTATAAAGACTGGCAACCTCCTGTATGACTCCTGCATCCACTATAACAGGATGGATGACTGGTAACCAGCTTTCTGGCTTTGCTTGATCCTTGATTATTTTTTTTAATTATTTTTTTTTCCACGCTAAGCTGCCTGTGTAGTTGGAAGTGGGGAACGAAGAGAAGAGCACCCCATAGTAATAAAATGTGTAATGCCATTAGTGTACAGATGGGGTTGTTTTGCTTGCCAGCCTCTGGGAAGTGTGTAAGACAAAAATTGGTCAATGCTTGCTGAAGGTGTATTTGAAAAGGGACAGGTGTTCTCTTAAACAGTAATGTGCAGTGGTTAAATGGATGGAAACTGCCTCTTGTAGCGTAGGGTAATGTGTTGTGAACTGTAGTTGTGCTTGCCTCCCAGCTGGGACATTTGCCACTCACCTGAAAAGCTTTTAATACCAGCAGGTTCATCTCCAGAACCCTTTAGGGGAGATTCCTTGTCCTACCTCTAGCTGGTGGGCATCTGGCAGAAACTAATTGTCTGAGCTCCTGATATGATCAGTGGAGGGTCAATGGCACGTCAAGGGTGTGATTCATTCCACCTTTCTTGAATGCTGAGTCTCCCTCTGGAACATCTTGTCTCTCTTGATAATAGAGACAACCTGGTCATGACCAACTTTGCCTAACTTTACATGGTTAGCACTAAGAACAAACAGTCCCTCCACTTCTACATGCAGTAATGCAACTGGAAAATCAGTTTCTACAGCTGATGTGTATTAACCTTCTTCTGTCATGTTTATAATTTTGTCCCAAACAGGACAGACCAAGAAATCCAAACGTATACCATAGCGGTAATAAATGCACTTTTTCTTAAAGCACCGGATGACAAGAGGCAGGTAAGTTGTTGGGTCTTGTGGTATATCTGTATATACCTGTAGAAAAAATGTGTCATATTCATACCTGCAGTTGTCCCAGTCACACTTTTTCTGCAGTTAATTCAAACTGAAACTTGTTCTGTTGTTTCAGGCTGTTATAATATCATTCATTTTAATGGCACTACTTCCATCTTGTACCATTATTAGTAGGGATTAAGCATTCTTCTGTGCTTTTTTGGTTCCCTGTAACCTCACATGAACTATATTGTCTGTGGTTGGCTGTAGTTACTGTACTGAACTCTTTGCCAGCACAGCTTGTAGAACCAGGCTATTTTTTGGTAAACTGTCACGTCTCCCCCCGATTTTTTAATAAAATTGTGTTCCTTTCTAAAATGGAAATATCTTGCCATGTAAGCATTTCATGACTTTTATACTATGCTATTTTAAGTTAACTTTAGTGCCAGAAATCAGAAATCTCAAAAGGAAATATTTCAAGATTGCTAGTTGGTGTTAAATGAGGATGGAATGCAATGTGTTGTGAAATAGAGATGTTTTATCCATGTTTGTCAAGTCATTAGCTTGTGTCAAAACATATTTAGTCATTTATTTATTTAACATTTCTGTCCCCAAGAATGGTGATGATAATTCTTGTGGTGACATACTGTTAGTGTCCAGAACAAGTTCATTGAGAGCTGCTGATCAATTCTGACAAGGACTTTCTTTAGATTTAGTTACATTTTAAAATGCTGGAGTTTGTTTAAAGAAACGTCAAAGCTCTAATGGGAATTTTTTTCTTTTTCCTTGAAAAATATTTTTAAAATGACAAGCAGGGGAAAGTAAAACAATGGTTTAATTTCAAAAAAAGCCTTTTTCCCTCATTGCTTGAGGGAAAACAAAGATTTCACTTTTTACACTTGTAAATAATTGCTACTGCTTTGTTTTTGTGAAAAGTATGCTTTAGTCATATTTGAAGTTGAGAGACAACGTCAGATGTAGATAAGACCTTAATAGTAATCAGTGGGCACGTGCTCCCAAAGATGACAGAACCACAGGGTCTTCCCAGCAAGTAAATCTGTATTTCACTGACAGCGTAACCACCTAGTGAGGCTGGCAGTGGACCATGCAGACTTCACTTCACCTGTAGCACCCGCTGTTGTGACACAAAATTGTTAGTCATGTAGTTTAAGATCATTAGAACATAATGACCTGATTTGGTGTCAAGGCTGATAACTATGACACTTGCAGAAAATTTCCTTCACCTTTTAAAATAACCTATAGTAAGTGTTCAGAATCTGTTAGGTTTCTCTTTATATCTGTCTTCTGGTTAGTTAGTGAACCGTACACAGAAGAAGGTAGATGTCCATTAGCTTCAAGGTAGTGATAACTGATAGTATTTATTTAATTCTGTCTTTCTAAGACAAACTGAGGTGATGCAGTCTCATGTAATTATCTGACTGCAGGTCCTCAAAAGTTATAGTTCAGCACTCGCCACTAGTATGGTTAGGAGTGAGAAACTACACCAAACCCCGTATGACTCTGGGAGCTTTGGCACCCTCCCTGCTGCCATCTTACAGGGACTGGCATGATTTAGATGACTGCACTCCAGTTAAGGAAAGGATTTAAATTGATGCTGGTATCTGAATTCCTTCCCCTGCTTTTTTTCCCCCACCCTATTTCTGTAATGCAAAAAGCCAAGAGTTCAGGGTTTTTCTTTTTTAATGAGGACTCCCTTGTTGCTTTGCTTCCTATGCCACTGTCAAGGACAAAATCATCTAAAAAAACCCCTAGGTTATTTAAAAAAAAATCTTTATCAGAAGAGAACTGTGAATTTGAGCATTGAAATGATACTGTGAATGTTTGAAACACTTTTTTGGCAATTGTCTGCATTTTTACAGGGATATGTTGCTATGGAAAATGAAATGGCAAATTTTGTCAAAAAGTTCCTGTTCTCATCTGTTAGTACAATACTTATTTTTTGAAGAGACAGCTCATCAGCCCCTAATAGCCATATAGCCTTCTCAGAGACAAAGTTGCTGCTGTTGCAATAATCAGTTTTGTGAATGCTTGTTGCTCCTATTGGTTTTTGGTCCAGTGACAAAAAGCAGTATCCCAATAAAGGCTTTTTAAATTGCAGCTATAAGAGAGAAGTGACAATTTGATAATCTTCTCCAAAAAATAAAATAAAAAATTCCCATTTTTTTACCCCGAATGCAGAAAAGACTACCTCATATTCTTTACCTGTCCATCTTTTGGCAGTGGAAATACTTTGACAAAACCAGCCAGTCTGTTCCCTGTAACGTGAAGTGTATGGTGTGCCTGGCACTCCCCCTGCAGCTCAGTTGTGCATTTCCAAAAGAGATGGAAGCAGCTGTATCATTCGTTCCTTTGCTGTTAAGTGCAACCAAAACCTGCCTAGCCAGAAAAGACTTAAAAACTAAAGCTTGAGCCTCTCTTGTCTTTGGTCTCTTCTTCCTTCCTTATCGTTCCTGTGTTCTGTTGCAGCACCCTTTATCTGATATAAAGAAAACAGTAAACATCTGTGACTGCCTCCTGTCTCAAAATGAGAATTATTTTCTTGTTGCAAGCAAGTTCTCACCCTAACGCTTGCTTTATTTACATTGTTTCTGCAGCCATGTTTCAGCACTCCAACTCTTCGAATGTTTTATGTAATAATCTCAGTTTTCCTGTTTTCTAGTTTCTTGTTTGTTATATAAAACTCACCAGTATGTACTCTATATTGCTCTTCAACTCTC